AAAAAAAAAAAAAAAAAAAAAAAAAACAGATGGACAAGAAAGAGGACAGGGAGGAATGTGTCGGAAAGGCAATAAGTCCATGACCTAGCGGTGGGACCACGCCATGTCATTCAAAAGTGGTCCAATCACAAATAATTAACCCAAAAAATAATTCTAAATTAACCCACTAATTATGCCAATTGGTACCCTCTCACCCGTTTCTTTCAATCCAGCTGTATTCCCTTTTTTCTTTTCTAATACATTTTCCCAAATTTAATCATTAAAAAATAAATTAAAATAAAATAAAACTTTTTTTTTTTTCTTCCGTAAGTAAATACAAAAATCATGACAGTAATTAAGGAATTACGACCGTTGGATGGCGTCCGTCGTTTTCCGGAAGACAACCTCCGTGTCCAATCCAAAACCGTCGATCTTCCCGACGCGCACCATCGCCGATCTCTGGAACAGAGCCTCCAAGGGCTTCACACTATGCAGATCATTGGCGGAGTACTTATCCGTATGTCCCGATAACGCTACATGTAAGACGCAGACTCCGCCGGGCTTCAACGTCCGTTCGATCTCCGCCACGAATCGGTCCGGGTAGAGCGCGTGATCGAAAACATTGGAGAATTCGAAATCGAAAGTGTGGTTTCCGAAGGGCTGGTTGTGGAAATCGCCTTCAACCACGAGCGGCGGGTAGGGCACCAAGTCCATTCCGATGGAATCCGAGACACCGATCTTCCTCAATGCCTGCACCTCCTGGCCGACCCGAGCCCCGATGCAAAGGGCTTTGGAATCCTCGGACAGAAGCCCTTCCCCCTTCAAACCCTCGAAGAATCTAGAGAATACCTGGATCTTCCGATCCCAATCTCGGGTGGTCCATATCTTTCGGAGCTTCGGGTCGAGGGTTTTGTTGAGCTGCTTCTTTATGTAGCGGTCGTAGGAAGTGTAGCCGGGTCGGATCCTTAAATCGGAGGGTTGTGGGGTGGAATTGTCGGTGGCCGGAGTGGAGAATCGGTGGTAGTAAGGGCGGAGAGAGAGGAGGAGGAGGAATGGAAGAGAGAAAAATAAGGATAACACGAAGTATTTAGATATCTGAAGAGGCTTTGTTTGGATTCCTTTCATTTCTGCACAACAAAGCTGCAACCAAAATCCCTCTCTCTCTCTCTCTCTCTCTAAAAGCAACCTTCTGAGCTCTTCTTCTTCCTCTTCCCTAAAGACCTGCACAAACCAAAACAGATGCTTACACCAAGTTGACCACTTTTTATATAAAATTATATATATATATAGGTTTTTTTTTATAAGAAAGAATACAGCAATTAGAGTTCACAATTCAATCTTATGTTTTTTTGTTCAAGTTTTTTAAAGTTTTTTAAAAATATTTAAAAAATACTATTTATCCCTCGTAAATATTATATTAAAATTCAAATTCAAATATCAAATATTCACAAATTATAGGAGTTCCTGGAAAATTGTTAGAGATAGGTGGCAAAATTTTGAATGGATTGGATTATTATTTTGTCGAATATAATTTATAATTTAAATTTCTATTTTTCGGATTCAAGTTAGATTATTGGGTTGCTTTTTATTTTTTTTAATTACTTTTAAAAAATCAAATTAAATTAATAAATAAAATTTCGTGAATTTATAATGTTGATATATGATGGGTGGCAAAATGGGGAATTAATGATGGAAGCGAGGTTTTTTGGTCATTTGAAGCATTTTTGCATGGGAATTTGGACAACACATGTCTGCACATGCCTTGCTTTTATATCACCCCTCTACCCTTTATTCATTAATAATTGACAATTTTTAATTTTCATTCAATGAGTGTTTTGGATTTAAGTGCTTTTTATTTTTATTTTTATATCAATTCATTATTTCGTATAATAGAATAATGCACGATTATTAAATAACGTCCCATAATAATTATGAAGTGGGTATATATATGACGTTCAAATAAACGATCGAAATCACTGGTTCAAGTTCATAATAACTTTAATATTTATTTGAATTCTTTTTTAAATCATATTTTTTGTTGAGTAATTTTGATTAAGAAGTAAATATTAAACGATTATGGAGTAAATAAGAGATTAACAATATGAATGGGATTAGGAAGTGGCGTGACTTTTGGGCTTTAATTATTTCAAAACATTCATTATATGCCAAACAAGCATCTTCCTCTTGCCTTTTTCAAACATAATACTCTATGTCTCTTAAATAAATAAAATAAAATAAGCCAATAAATAAATAAAAAATACTCATAATTATATATTTATATTTTAAATTCAACCATTTTTCTATGTGTTTTTATCATAAAATAAATTTAATCTATAGATAATTTGCGGTATGAGTACTCTTAAAACATTAAAATTACACCGGTTAATGCTAAAAAAATTAGTATAAAAAATTAAAGGAATATTTTATTTGCTTTTCTAATAATCAAATTTAAAGTATTTATTTAAATAATTTAATTATTATAAAAGTGATTATTGTTCTTTTACCCTTGAAAAACAACGTGGGTTTAAAATTTATTAGCCATTTTTTAATTTTTCTAAATTTTAAAAAAATTGGAATAATTTACATGTTTTCTGAACGATTCATTTATAAATGAGAAGAGAGAGAGAGAGAGAGTTGCATTTAAAATTACAGGTGTTTGAATACCACCGTTACCATTTCACTCCGACCTCATCCGATTCAGCTGGTTCAACGCCGGCTGAAGAATATTGTACAGAACCCACAGAATCGCCGGCGCCACCACAATCAGCAGCAGCTGTCCTCTCGCGTCGTTGGAAGCCTCCGCCGCCATTGCCTCCGGCGTCCCCACCAGCCCAGAGGCCAACAGCCCGCCGAGACCCAATCCGGCAATCACCGCCTTCTCAGTCCGCATCCGGTTGATCTGATTCAGCGCCGGCTGAAGAATATTGAAGAGAACCCAAGCCACAGCCGGGATGAGCGGCAGCAACAGAGCCAGCCCACGGTTGTCGCCCTCGGCTAGATCGGCGATTTGTTGGGCGGCGAAGGCGGCGTCGGTGAAGCTGAAAGTGGAGAAGATGGCTCCGGCAATGGCGGATCCAGCGAGGGAAGATTTGGGTGAGGGGATTGGGAGGGAGATGGGTGTTGTGGGCTTTGAGGGAAGGAGTGGTGGGGGGGTTCTGTTGGGGGTGAAGCATTTGGCGTTGAGGATCGCCATGGTCGCCATTGTTGCCGCCATTGAAGAAGGGAAAGTGAAGATTGAAGGGATTAGGGTTGAGATTTAAGTGAGAATTTGGGGGAAATGAGAGCCAATCAAATTGAGAGAAGGGATTGTGTTCTTATCCAAAACGGTGCGCTTCGGGAATTCCAAGCCTCAAATTTTTCTTCCCTCATCCATAATATCTTCTTCTTCTAATTTAAAATAATTTATTATTATTATTATTTTATTTATTTGTTTGTTTTTATTATAATTTAGCTTTATTATAAAAATAAATGTAATTTACAAAATAATGAAGCCTAATAATTATAGGAAATTATTATATACGTTTTAAAAATATATAAAAAATAATATTTATATGGTTTAAAATAAGGATGTGTAAATAATTTTTATTTATTTTTTAATATTTTGAGAATAAAGATTTAGGATTAAATGTAGAAAATAAAAATAAATACTCGTGAGCTCCACTAAGTTTTTCATACTAGATTGATATGCTTCTTTGTGTTCGCAAAAGCAAGAATCCATGAAGAAAAGGGCCATCGCGTTGCAATGAGTGGTTTCCCTAAAATGCTTCAATGGCTTCGTTTAAAGAAACCCAGAAGAACGCCATGTTTACACAACTTCATACCTATGAATGATCATTAACTTGGGGGGAAAAAGAGAGAAAGTTGTGGTTTTTCTGCTTCAAATGATTGCTGTCAGAATCATTCAAGGGAAACAGAGTATTTGCTTGTTTCCTCAGCCCTTCTTCCAGTTTTGTCTCAAATCTCTCCTCACACAACATCATTTCTAGTTTCCATGAAGTTTAAGGATATTCTAGCATCTGGGTCGCATCCATTTCCTCCAAAAACCCAGGATTTATGTCGAAAAATTTACTCTCAAACCAAATCAAGAGGCCAGTGGAACGAAGAATTGCAGATAAAGCAATGGAACTGGTACTGAATCCCCTGTTTTGCTCTATTTCTTGCCATTGGTGTTCTTGAATGTTCGTTCTTGAAGGAAACCCACTGAACTTTAATCCAATCCAGTTCGGTTAGGCCTTTGTAAACCAATGTCAATCATTTTCAGTTCATAATTCCACCATCACTGACACACATCTTAGCATTCCAAACCCATAGTCCTTTCTTTCTCTCCAAACCTCTGTTTTCAGTAGTTTCTTACAACTTTTTAAGAAGACCCATTGGATCTCTTTTAGCTTTGTCTCTTAAAGTTCCATTCTTGAGATGAATTGAATCATGTGGGACTCAAGAATAAAGAGATGAAGAATAGAATGTATTTGGAAACTTGAAATTATTGGAGTATGGGCAGAGTGAGGATGTGACAGTTCTTCCTCTCTTGAAGTAATGCAAAAATGTTAACCTAAATATTTCAGGACAATTTTAATAATAATAATAATGTCGGTTCCCAATAAAATCACCTCAATAATAATGAAATAGCCCACACAGTGTCACTTTAAAAGAGTGAAAATGTAGTTGAAAAGGGGGAAAAAAGAGGTAAATTTCAACTAAAAATCCTATTCTTATGGCTCTTTGAACTGTGTGGGATTGCCATTATTCATCAAGGAAAAAAAAAAACTTAAAAAATAATTTGGGATAGTCAAAGAAAAAGGGCACAAATGGGTGGAACTTCAAAAAAAAATAGTCGATGAAAAGGGAAACGTGTAAAAAGGATAAACACTATAAATAATGGGAAGCAAAGGGATTAGTTCTTTCACTAATCTCTTTAAAAACGTATAGATTTAGAAGAAGGCAGACGGCTCTCATAGGATAATAAAAAAGCAGGAATTATTCATTCTCACTCCTCGAGATAAAAGGAAATTCCCTTTCATTTTCTTTGGGAGAAGAAAAATTCCTGAATCATCCTCTAATTCATCATCATCATCATCATCATCATGTGGCAAAAGAAGAAGCATCTGATCGGAAAACCCACTTCGTCTTCATCCATTCTTTGATCTAAATTCTGGTTTCCACTTACATGTAATTTCGTTTCTGAATAACTACTGATCGATCTGCGATGATCATTTTTGTGGATTTTGTGGATTTCTCTTGAGTTTCTGGAAATTTTATGATCTGGGTCTGAGGAAATCTTTTGTTTTCTGGAAAGAATCATGGGTGATCATTGATGGGCATGGTTAAATTTGTAAGCCCTGTTCTGGGTCATGCACTAATTGATATCATTTTTTGGTCATGTTGGTATCTCTGACTTTTGCTCCTTATAATGAGTTTGCGTGAATAGGTGTTCTTCCTCTCTTATGGTAATCCTTTCCTTTTTGGGTTTCTTTGGTGTTCGAATATCCATTCATCAACGATTGGTATTCTTCCTAACAAAGCTTTGCCTTCTTCTCCGACCCAATTTTTATGATCATCGTCTTCCTTCTTTTGTTTTGTTCATAGTTTCCTGCTATCCCTTCTGCTTCTCTTTGACTTGCCTTTGTTTTTGCTGTTCTTGAGCTCAAGTTGTACTGATCGAGTGGCTTCTTTGGGCTTTGTTCTTAACATGTTTGGTTGTAGTTAACTGATCTAATCTTGTATGTTCTTCAATCAACAAGTTCAAGCATCCATTAATCCATTGAAGTTTTTTGCCTTTTCATTTGTTATATTCTTTGTCTTGTGAGGAATTTATACAGGCGTTGTTTTGTTTCTGATGTAGATTGAAGAGTGGAAGTTTGTTGAATAATCTGGTTAAAACTAGGTAGATAATGATATCTTCAATCTTTTAGATTTACAGTAGATCGCCTGGACTGAATAATGTAGTGATTTCTTTGTTCATGTTCTCGCAATCTCAGCGATTTAGTCTCGTCTTCGATCGAGTTTGGGCACTGCAAAGCCTTAGGCAGTGCCCATGGATGCCACGACGAGTGAAACAGCGGCTATACAATTCCATAGCATTCCTGATCAGTCAGTTTCTACAATTGTCACAAATGCAACATCGACATTGTCGAAACGACGTTGCTTTGGGGAATCCGACCCGGGCGAATTCCCCTTAGCTGCCAATCCCTCCATTGTTCTTCATGTCCTGACAGCATGTAACTTGGATCCTCAAGACCTTGCAAAGTTAGAGGCAAGATTTTTCATTTCCCTTGTTCTACTTTTCCAGGATTGATAATGCTGCTGATTGATTTCGGCTGTGCGTATTGCAGGTGACGTGTTCGTTCTTTAGACAGCCTGCAAAATTTGCTCCTGACTATGAATTATCAATTTCGGAACTCGCTGCATTAGATATGTGCCAAAAGAGAGCCATATTCAAACCTATGACAGAAGAACAGCATCAAGCATTGAAGCAAAGATGTGGTGGCTCATGGAAACTGGTATTAAGGTTTTTAGTGGCTGGAGAAGCATGTTGCAGAAGGGAAAAATCCCTGGCAATCGCAGGACCCGGTCACAGCATTGCGGTCACGTCGAAAGGAGCTGTTTACTCCTTTGGATCTAACAGCTCTGGTCAGCTTGGACATGGTACCACCGAAGAGGAATCACGGCCTCGCCTTATCAGGTTGCGAAAATTTCAACAATTCTTCACCTGATATCAAGAGAGGTAGTATAAAAATTAATGGACACCGTGATCTTGCAGATCCCTGCAAGGAATTCGAATAACTCAGGCAGCAGTAGGGGCTGGAAGGACAATGTTAATCAGCGACGCGGGGCGTGTTTATGCATTTGGCAAGGATTCATTCGGTGAAGCTGAGCATGGAGCTCAAGGAGATCAAATTGTTACTACGCCGAAGTTGGTCGAATCGTTGAAGGATATATTTGTGGTGCAAGCTGCAATTGGAAACTTCTTCACTGCAGTATTATCAAGAGAAGGTAGAGTGTATACATTTTCTTGGGGGAGTGACGGTAGGCTCGGTCATCATACCGAACCGAACGACTTGGAACCACGGCCCCTGATGGGAGCGTTAGAAAACACTCCAGTTGTTCAAATCGCTGCTGGATATTGCTACCTTCTTGCTCTAGCTTGTCATCCTAATGGAATGTGAGCTCCATCTTCATTTAACATTTCTCTATCCTTACCTCGTAACAAACATATGAATCACAATCCTATGTTTTCCAAAACGTCAGGTCGGTATACTCGGTTGGATGTGGACTGGGCGGGAAGCTCGGTCATGGTTCAAGGACCGATGAGAAACACCCACGACTCATTGAACAATTCCAGCTTCTGAATTTCCAGCCAGTTGTGGTTGCTGCTGGTGCTTGGCACGCAGCTGTTGTAGGTCGCGACGGTCGAGTTTGTACGTGGGGTTGGGGCCGATATGGATGCCTGGGTCATGGAAATGAGGAGTGTGAATCTTCCCCTAAGGTAGTGGAAGCATTAAGCAATGTTAAAGCAGTTCATGTTGCTACAGGTGATTATACAACGTTCGTCGTATCAGACGATGGCGATGTGTATTCTTTCGGTTGTGGAGAATCTGCTAGTCTCGGACATAACATCGACGTCCCCGGGGGGCAGGTCTCGCTTTCTTATACCTTTTTAACACATCCATGCTAAGAACAGCTACAGTTCTAGATTGATATACTATAATGATATCATTTAGACACTTTCGATGCATAATGTACTTGATTATGAACTAGCATATCAGGTACACGACTGTTGGTTCTTTCTGCTGAATCCTGCCAAGTAATGCATGTTTTTATGGATGATATTGTACAGGGGAATCGGCAAGCGCGCATCTTAAGCCCGGAACTAGTAAGGTCTCTGAAGCAAATTAGCGAGCGGGTCGTTCAGATTAGCCTCACTAATTCAATTTACTGGAATGCACACACCTTCGCGCTGACGGAGTCGGGGAAGTTGTATGCATTTGGTGCTGGAGACAAAGGGCAGCTCGGGGTGGAACTTATGGGGAATCAAACCGAAAGGGGAAATCCAGAGCGGGTTGAGATCGATCTAAATTAACCGAGGGGAAACACAACTCCATTGATGTGGAAAGTATGGTGTAATGTTATAGGCATTGCATTGCATTTTAATCACTAGATTTGGCGTATGAAATTATTAATTTGTAAATAGGGGTCCCAAAAAGGATGTGGAGAATGGTTTCTATGGTGGGTGTTGATATTTGGATGGGAAATGGATGGGTCTGCTTGTTCTTTCGCAGGTTTTAAGCACTTTATGGAGGGCTTGCTTTCTGGGTTGGTTCTTTTAACATCATATATCAACATCATACGTCCGCCATTCCAATCAACCCAACAGCTATTCATTCACAACTTTAAACAAATGGCAGACAACATTTGAAAGGAACAAATGGAATGAAAACAATCTCAATATACACTTTGATATGTCATCGTATCATGACACTTATTTGATACACTTATTTATCTCAGGCCTCGACCTCTCCCCCACTTAAACTATTTCTCGAGGGTACAATTGCATCCTGGATTATGACCTTCTCACCCACTTAATCTCAGCATCGTCATGAAGACGATCCAAGCGCCGGATTAGCTACTAATTGAACCGCTAGACATAAACGTGCTTCAAAATGAATATGAAAACTGTGCACGACTTGGGCTATCACACTGACAAACCTTCTCTCTAATATAAGCACAACAAACAGCAGTTGCCCAATGGTTGTGGGTTATCTCATCTAGGACCTAACTTCGCCCTTCTCAGACCTTCGCTTAGGACATACCACAAAAACCATGGCAAAACTAACATCAACATATTCTCCCCTAAGCTAAGGGGAGCATGCCCTAAACATAGTCATCTTGGCCTTAACACACATGAAGTTGCAAAAAATTGTGCACCCCTTCGAGATTGGAATTGCAAGCTCAACCACAACATTTTCTCGTAACGTTCCTTATGAAAGCAAAGTCTGGAAACTTGTAACACAGCCTCGTGTTAGCTCTATACTTCAGCCAACTTCTCAACGGGATCAACTTTATGTGGCAAACGTTGCGATGACACTTCTTGGTCTTCTACAGCTCATTCCTCATGTCACTAAGGTCCAACCTGAAGCTCTCTTCTCGAATGAATGTTGGTCTCAACAACTCTTTTGAAGCTCTCTTCTCGAATGAATGTTGGTCTCAACAACTCTTTCGAAGCTCTCTTCTCGAATGAATGTTGGTCTCAACAACTCTTTTGAAGGTGAAGGTTTAAGGAATAGATGTGAGATCACTTCTTCGAGCACTTCTACGAGTTTAGCAACCCTCTTGGGTTCTCCCCCACTTAACTCAGCTACCTCATCTATAGCGACATCGTCCTCCCCTATGGACTTACATTATGCTCAATCTAGCACTTGGTCGGCACATGTTCCACTTGGCCTCCGATTTCTATGCTTGTAACCAAGAACATTATTCTCTGATGGAAATGGCTCCTTCGAAAGCACCCTACATGGTACACCTTCTAAATGTTTATTACCCATTAAGAACTCCAATCCCTTTGGCAAGTGAGCTTAGTTCGTGCGTCAAGACAAGTAAGGCTCTTCTCATCTTCTCAACCACAAGGACTCTGGCTTCGACCCATAAAGTTATTCATGATTCCGAATAATATAACTGCCCAGCCCAATCTATCATTCGTGTGAAGTCTTCATTATACCCGTCATATTAGTTTTTTGACATTTTTGTCCAACTAGACATACAACTCATGCAAACTATTACAATCGTACTTTTCGTACTGTATGGCGTCATGATCTTGACACGTACATGACAAGCCTCGAGGGAAACTAAAGCTTCATTTCTATTTTTCATCGAACCTTAGATGAGGTTCTCGTCCGTCAATCAAACACAACTCATACGGAAACTAAGCTTGTCCAGCCACACACACCACCTATGCGTACATGTTCTATTGTGACTCTAGTACACTTGTCTCTATTATATGCCAAGGTCCTTTGAATGCAATGTTGCATCTCATTTCGTCATCGTGATTCTCAACACCACAGCCCAGGCTTTGTGTCGTCATCCCAACTCAATTTTCGCTGCTCGCTTGGACACGCTTATCGAGAATCACTCATGAGTCGATTTTATCGTCGAGACACCTCAAACATCTTTGAGCCTCTCTATCACTCTTGTCTACTCTGTCTCCAATTGCCAACAAAAGATTTATTTTTTTACGTAACTCATGTTGGTTGATAAATCTTCTTAGAATTGAATAGAGTAAAACTAGTTATAAATCTCCGAAAATATTAAATCTATTTACCTCCAAGATTTTAAGAATTTAAATGGGTAGTAGTATAAATTTGGAAGGATACAAGGATGGGTAAAGATTGATATATCATTAGTGGTTAGTAAATCTCAAATAACACCTTGTAAAGGAAAAGAAAAACAAATAATATTGGATGTAAAGCATAGTGACTAAAGATTGCGGATTATTAAGCATTCCAAATGTTTAAAGTTTTTGGTCGTAATCGATCATAAGACATTGTCACACACAAGAAGATAAACCTCTTTTTGAAACTTTCACCTAAGCTGAACGCCAAAAAAACATACAATTCAGCTCTCGTCTAAAATTCACTGAAATGCTGATTTTTATAGGATTCCTCAACGCCCATCTACAGGAGAACGCTAAATTTGGACCAATTGCTAATTTTAGAAAACCTGGCCCCCAATGAAAGAATTGAAGTAATGAAGAACCACATTTCGTACAAATTATACAGAAAATGATCATATTTTACACCACCCATGTACATCTATGAAAGCCTGCACAGCATGGAACCGAATCGAGGTGCATGTTAAGGGGGAAACAGCAAAGCATCTGATCCACAACATAAGTCAGGGACTATACTATCCAAACGCCAAAAAGCTCAAGGATCTTTTGCATCAGTACATTCCTTTGAAAACAGGATTTGTGCGGCATATGCTTGCACCATACTCCTCATATTCTGCTTTTGTATGACAAGCCTGCATCCAAACAAAACAATATATGTTCGTTGATTAAAGATATACTCGTGAACTTAGCTACTATTCTTGCACTGGGTATGTTGGGCTGTATTTGGCAGATTGTTCTTAGGAGACATTATGCAAGGATCAAATAGTATTGAAAAATGAAAAATGAAAAATGAAAAATGAAAAATGAAAAGTTTTCGATAATCTCCCCGTGAATCACTCTGTAAACACTTGGGGAGCTCTCATGTGTAAGAAAATCCATATCCGACAAGCTGCTCAAATGGACATACTCGTTAAGAAGTGAGCAAAACCTTGGAGACTCATTTCTCCCTCTTTTAGAAATGCTTGATCGTCCTCTTCCCCAACCCACCAGACAAGAAAAACACCTAACAAGGTATCATGTTTTTCCTTCCCGAGAGGGATTGTAATTGGCATGTGAAGAAGATATAGCATACATACCGCAAAAAACTCGGGAGTTGACGCAAGAACAGAGCCACCAAACCAGACGGCAAATCTCTGGATGGGATGGCTAACAACATTGACTTCCACTGGATGCGACTGAAAAAGGCAAGGAAATTATAAACTAATCGGAAAGTAATTTGTCCTTCAGTAAAAAGACCTATATAATACTATAATCGGTTTCTTTTTTAAAAAGAGGGGAACAAAAAGGTCATATAACAATTCTCACTTTTATTTCTCCTCCTATTCTAGCTTCAGAAGCAAGGATTCGGGCATCCACGATCTTCTTCAAGTCTCTTTGTAACCTCCTATGGAAGTCCTTGAACATTGTTGAACCTCCAGATAGTACTATGTTCTAAGGTAAGCAACAGATCTAATTAATATGAGAAGTAGGATTTTGTAAAGAAGAAGGAATGAGTAATACAATGGAAAACGATCATTATATATGTCTAGGCAATTCAAATCGATCCCTCCCCCCTCCCCCCTCCCCAAACCAAAAAAGAAAGGAAAAAGGAAAACTGAACTTGAAGAAAATCTGATAATTAAAGAATGGCAGAAGACAGAAGGGGAAAAGGGAAGGTTCGATATATCTACAAAAAATGTAACCACATGTGGAACCTGAGCCAAATGCACACAAACGAGGTAAAAGACATCCAATAAATTTCCTAAGCTGAAAAAACTATCGTCTTCGGATTGATCGTTTCATCATAATCAAGCTCAACAGTTTTTCAAGAATACTTCACCTTGTACAACGCTCTTCTGGTATCGATTGGTGCAGACTGAATACACCTGTCTATTACAACAGGCAATGGAGTGGTAAAGTCGCTGCTATAAATTTCGGGATTGAAAAATACCTGCAGATCATCAACATTGTCAAAACAGTTCAGCAATACGGTGACATGAACTACAATTGCGAAGTGAACAACGGGATAACATTAATTCTCTATTCATCCTAACCGAACTCAAGCATGCAATTAACATATCTACAATGAAATCCATCATGATGAAATAAGCTAAAAGCAAACCTCAGGACCAAGAAATCGTTCATAGCCAATATCACAGGAATATGGTGCGCCAGTCTTGGGTTTAATTCCCTTCCAGTGCTTTATATACTTGCCTGGCTCCCTATCATGCTTATTGAACTCCTGAAATCAACAATACACATACTACCTCACCAATTATCGGTGCAGAGAAACAATGACAAGGTAACCAAAACTATAACAGAATAGGCTGAGAAGTCTATCTACTTTCAACAAAGTTGTGATTGACATAAATCTTAAATATGTGCTCATTTCTGCCAAGACTTATCAAACAAGTACAGTAAAGTTCCAACCTTGACAATGTCAGAACAGGTATAGCAATACATTTCCTTCACTTTTCGGGCCACTTCAAAAGAGTCCTCAGGTGGTACATTCTCTCCTCTTTCCTAAATGAAGCAATGGTAAATTGCAAGTTTGTGAGCTCGTTAATAGGCAACAGCTCATTCTATAAATTAACATTAATGGAAAAAAAAAAAATCTAAAATTCTTATATCCTCAATCCAGTAGCTTCGGATATCAACATATCCAGAACAACAAAGATAAGAAGTTAATGTACACAAAAATTGAACTTCAAAAACAATATTCTTTTGAAAATATTACATCACATGACGTGTTGGAAATTTGAACCTACAAACTCTTAGATGAAGTAGACATAACCTAACCATTGAGCTATGCTCACATTGGCATCTTCAATAACAATATTGCACAACATCTATTAAAAAATGAAGTAGAATTACAGAACAATACCTATTATCTCATTTTACCCAGAAAGTTCTTT